AGGCTGTGTTCAAATCCCTTCTCCATTAGCACCCTCAGCCTATTCCTGAGGATCTGCCAGGAAGGAAGGATGTTAGTGTGTGAAACAGCTCTGGAATTTTGACCTGTGTATTAGGAATATATGTACACATAGGGAAGGTCTATATTTTCAGACATGTTTGCAATAAAAGTACTTTTAAAATGTGTTGTCACACCACACTTCCTAGTAGAGGGTAGAGCCAAATACACATTGTCCTAAAATATGGAACTGGGAGAACAGTTTAAGGCCACAACCAAGCTCTTTGCTCTACTAAACCATGGCAATTGCACTGGAGTCAAAACGCAGAACTCAGCCAGCGATCCCCTCCTTTCCCTACAGTTTTCTTCCCTCTTGGGGACTCCAGAAGAAACTATTTAGTTACCTAACCTTGTTTTAAGGCAGACAGTGGTGAAGATTCCCATCTCAACGGGGCTGAATCAGTCCTTCAGTCTCTGATTAAACAAACAGTTAATGATTTTCCAGTCTGAAAAAGCCAAACATGGTGAACTTAATTATCTGAAGGATCCTGTAACATCAGGCACAATGACTATTTATGTGAAGACAGGGAAGCAACTGATTTAACTCTCACCACCAAGAGCTGCATTCTGGAGGTGGCACGACTTGCACCTCCCTTCATAAAGTTTTCTGAATCACCACGCCCTGTGCTAGCAGGGCAATGCTTCTCCCTTTTATTTATGTCTTACAGAAATTAAAAAGTTGTGTGTATCACTAAGGTGTAACAATGTTTTGCATCCCACCAGCTGCCAAAAGCAAGTAGCTTCAGGTCATTTGTGCCTACATAAGGATGACAGAGCCACACTCACACAAAAGCTGACCTCAGTCCACAGGGAGCTGTCAGTGTGGTGCCTTCCCAAATACCAGCATTTCCTTTGGCTTTCTGGATGCAGCTTTATACCCCCAAAAAATAAATAAAGTTTGCAGTGCAGGAAGTGGCCTTTCATACTGACTCAAAAAATTGCAAGGCTAAGAACATTCTGGGTTCAGGCTGCAGCACTGACATACTTGGGAGGTCAGACCACCCCAACAGGGTCAGCTCTTCCCAGATCAAGCCTGCATGGAAACAGGGCTGGGTTGCAGGAGACAAGCCACATTCCTTAGTTAAAACTGCTGCAGGAGTGGCAGGATCACAAATTCAAGCTGAAATGCTGCATATGCTTGGAAAAGCAGCGTCCCAAATGAAATACAGTCTGAGGTGTGTTCAGAAGACAATAAGGAAGGTGGGAAATGCCCTCAGAGTTGCTCAACTCATGCAAAACAGTCCTTCCCCTGGAGTCGGACAGGGGATTTCAGAGCACAATCCCTCCCTTCAAATCCAGAAATACCAGAGTGAAAACTGTTGGCAGGCTAACAGAACAATGTAGGATGAAGTGTCAGGAGTCTGTGGATAACACCTGGCTTTCCACTTCCTTCACATCGCGCACCGGCAACGCTCGCTGCCAACACGCAGCCAGAGATCACTCAGTGCCGAGGCACAGAGCATCTGGCTGTCACTCAACAGGCACTGACACTGCAGGCACAGAGCAGGGAATTTAATCAAGTCTTCCTCTTCCAGGATACCCAAAGACGTACATGTGTGTCCTACATCAGCCTGCAGCTTTAGGGCTCTCATCTGGACATCCAGGCTCCTGCCTGTGCCGATCCACGGATCGGAAGCCTCCCGATGAGCTTGTCGTATCACCTCTCTAGGAACAAAGCTGCACAACCCCCCAGAAAGCTTCAAACTGGTACAAAATGCAGCCGCCCATCTGCTTCACAAAAACGGTTGCCATGAACACATCCCTCCTGCTCCGTGCCTGCTATTTTTAAAGGTACTTGGGAGGCAACTGAATTCACTGGCGGTTGTGCTATTTAAGTATCTGGACTAATAATATTCAAGGAATATATTGGCACTTCTCTGTGGGGAAATACAGCACCTGCCTGGCCTACACCTGGCTCAGATGTGTTTTCAGAAGCCCAGTTTCTCTAATCCAACAGCAAGGTGATAAACCCACAGACAATAGATGCTTTCTCATGGAGAGCACTGTAAAGTGAAACCTGGGAGTTTTATCCTCAGAAGTGCCACCACAGCGTAGGGAGAGTTTACAAAGGGAGGGGAAAGGACAAGCAAAAGGATATTTACAGCTGTAACTTTAGTCACTTAACCACATGGCTTAATGCAAGGCCTGAGCACAGGAACCATGGAAAAAGGGTACCTGCTTGCAGGAAAATAACCAAAAAAACTAAACCAGAAATCCCAAGGGAGGCAGATCCCCAAAGCTGAATGTGCTGACAGGACCTGGACCTTTTCCAGAGAGCTTTGAATTCCTAGGAGTGTTTAGTCTTAATGCATTTCAGACAGGTTCCCCTTCAGCCAGGCTGGGCAGAGGGGGTGTGAGCAGCCCGGGAAGGGGGTCCCAGCCCAGGGTGTGCCCCACCAGACCCACAGCACCAGGCAGTGCCAGGTACGTGCAACCCAGGCTGAACTGGACTTGGGACCAGGACGGGCTGACAGGAGCCAGCAGCACAACCTGCTGCTTCTGCCCTCTGAGCAGGTCAAATGAACCCAGTGCCGCCTGGCAACTCCCTGGATATATCACATTCCCACCTCCTGCCCTAGACAAGCACGAGGTGCCAAGTAAGTTTGCTGTAAATAACGTGAAAAATCCGTCTCTGGAGGTTCTTATATTCTCAGACAACACTTCTCATTCCACACCACAGCTAGAAAAAAACCGACTTAGTGTGTCCTATGAAGAGTTCATATACCTGCCTCTCTGCTCTGTTTACAGACTCCAGGTGACGTGGGACACCTTGTTCAGATCAGTTCTCTGAAAACTCATGGTCAGGAAGAGCTCCATCACAGCCACAAACCTGATTTCCACAGAGCACAGAAGCAGCCCAAATCAATTGCAGAGCAAACACCAGATTTTGTACATAAGCAGCTCACAAGAGATGACCTCCCAGACGTCACAACCTCAAACACGATCAGGTTTGGAAGTGGTTGATTTCAGGGAGAGAAACAGACCCTAAATAACGTACAGATTTCTAACATGATATAGACACAGCATCTCCTTCCCTTTAATCTTTCCCTGGATGCAAAGAGTATCAAAAAATGTGATGGAAATGACTAGAGGAGCACAGAGTAGAGCCTGAGGCATGATCTAGGAGCCTCTCCACATGGTAACTGTTCTCCTCACCATTCCTGGAAATTCATCCCTCCTGAAGTTTCTCTAACTGCAACAGGGAAAATATTTGGAAGAGGTCAAATGACTCAGTGCCACTGAGAGCCATAACTTTTCAAGCAGGAACAGGTTTCCATGTGCTTTCAGTTAGAGCCCAGACAGGTTGGGGGAAAGGCAGCAAACCCCCAGCCCACTTCCCCTTTGCTCGTTTTGAAGCAATCAAGCCCAGGGAGAGCAGTTTATGTGTTTGGTTTGAATTACAGACGATTTTGCTGCTGGAACACATCTGCAACGCGCTCTGCTGAGTGAACTGCTGAACCCCAGCCAGCTCAGAAAACAACCCACACGGCTGGCAGCACCAGCAACCCCCAGTGACGGCTCCCAGAAGCCGCTTTCAGGGACAACAGGGAGAGGGAGATGGGCATTTCTCAGCACAGGCTTTTCCTGAGACACCCTCCAGTGCAACTCGGTTTATTATGACTCCAGGAAGCAGAAGGGTTAATTTCTTTCCAAGTTCACATACTGTTTGGATTCCTTAGATAAGCTGCTTCCACCAAACCCAAGGACCTAGCCTCAGGGGAGAAACACTGTGAGGAAAAGCTCTTTTGATAGATTTTCTTCAAAAGAGAAATTAATTCAAAGTCCATTTTTGGAGGTGCTCCACACCCACGGTTTCTATGAACTTCAGACGAGGTTGCATCGCGCCTCTGGAAAAAACCCCAAGCTTTGAGCAATGCCCTACCGCTTCTGTTTGCAAGACAAATGTTTTATGCTTGCCCAATAAAATCTCTCCTGAAACGAGAAAGCTCAGCACGCAGCACCACAAAGAGGAAAACCAGCCCAAACCAGGCTTTAGCCCTGGGATAAAGCAGTTAACAGCCAGCACAAACTAATCCTGTACCTTTAAAAATGAGCAGTCACTCAGGAAAGCAAAAAAACAAGTTTTGAAAGCCACTGAAGGCTTCCTTCACATCTTGAGGCAGAAAGCAAGTCTGGGCTGTTATGGAATTTGTGTTTGCATACTGCTGGTGATAATCTGTGTGCATAGTTAGAAACAAAGCAAGTTTTTATTAGCAATTAGTAGCAAGAGTGGGGACAGACCTGCCTGAAGGAGTCAGAGAAACACCAATACACGATGGCAGAGCCTTGTAAGATGTGCAGCAGAACGATCCCAACACGACAGATCGCACAGAAAACACTGCTGCTCTAAACTGGGAGATGCAATGGCATCAGTTCAAGGAGATAAACTGGGTCTTTAACACCGACAACTTTGACTCCAGGCAGCAGTTTTCCCTTGCACAGCAATTTGCAATGCAAAGCAAGCTATTTCCACCCTTACCAAGAACAGAAATTCAGAATCAAAGAGGGAGAGCAAAGTTGAGAAGGGTTGATTTGCTTAGGTAATAGTTTTCTACAGAGTTGAGTTTTAAGTGAAGCACAAAGACAGTACAGCACAGGGTCTGAAACAGCGTGTGAGAACTTGGGCAAGGACAGGGGAGAAATATAAGAGAGGATTTAACGCACAAGCCTCAGCCCCTTTCAGGGAGCGACCTCCCGCTCCCTCCCCTCATCTCTGAAAAATTCAATCCAGCTCGGATCAGCCAACACCACCCAGGTTCAGAGCTCTCCAGCCATGCACTTCCCCCGCTCCAGAGAATGATGTGGCATGTGGGGCCCTACAACAGAACTATTAAAATCCCATCAAGGGGTAAGCAAGTGGTGGCCATATGCTAAACCGCTCAAGGGATGAATAACCAGGGAAAGAAGCAGAGCCAGGCAGCAACTCTGCAGGCAGAGTCTTACCTGGTAGATAAACTAGCAAAGTCTCCTCCATCCAGCAGCCTGATTTTGCAGAACAGGACCCCATTCACAAAGGGGACGGCAGTCAGCTCTTCTAGAGTGAAACTTGTCTGAAACTTGAATTTCTTCTTCTTCATCAGGAAAGCCATGGGCAAATTCAGTGTGAAAAGCTCAGGAATTCCAAAGAAGATCAGGGAGAAGTGGCTCAAAACACACACAGACAAGCAGAAGGAGGGCACTCGTTGCAGGAGCACAAGCAGGGAGCAAATTCCAGTTCAGTTACAACGACGGCCCAGCTTCAAACGCACGATTCTCTTCTCTTTGGTGGTCGGATCTGGCTGTGGGATCATCACCACGGCAGGCTTCAGGTGAGCTGGAAGAGGTCAGATTAAATCTCTGCAACATCTCCAAGGGAAAAGGGAGGGAGGGAAGTTGGTCTCAGCTCCAGACCAGCAGGAGCTGTCCCAGTTAGACGCTGCAGTGCTCTGTCTTCAGCAAAACCCCTCCTGAAAGCATCTCTTGTGGGAAGTCATCTAGAGTCCCCAGAGAAGCCTCAACTCTGCGGGCAGCACATTCAGAGAGCTTCCAGTTTCTGTCTCCTCCCCTTGTGCAACTCCTTGATACAGGTCTTCGGGTCAGCCTTTGGGAGGGAAATGAGTAAATTAGTTCCAGCCAGTCTTGGGCTCCTCCTCTTGCTCTAAAACCTGTTTGGATGGGTAATATTCAGTCCAGACTCATTCCAGTCTGAAGAGGTATGGCCCCAATTAGCCTGGCCCAACATCCTCTTTCCCCTTTTTGCCTAGGGCAAGCTTCAGTGTTGTCATCCCCCTCGTAATTTCTGTTTTGCAAAGCAGCTAATAAAAATCTGCTCTGTTTTCAGCCACCACCTTGAGAAGCAGTTTACAGAGCAAGATCAGTCTAATGTGTAGTCTAACAAGGATAAGCAAAAGCCGTTTCAATAACTGAAAAATCTGCTTCTTTCCTGCATTTCCAACCAGCCCTAAGTGTTAGCACCTGTATCTTATAAATGGAGAAAGCAGCAGAGAGAGAAAACAAGCAGTCTGCTCCAGATTACACAGCATAACAACCGAATCAGGTCATCTGGCTGTCCAATCACCAGGCCCACCGGGAATGCTGCCTTTCCTCAGCACCGGATCCACATCGAGCCCTGCACGGCTCAGCTCTGGGGCTGGAGATGGGCATTTCGTTACACACTGACACAACACCCAAACCAGGCAGGCAGCATCCAAAAGGGACAAGGTTACGAGCGTCGGGCAGTAAACAATCCTCAGGGATTCCAGCAGCTGCCTGCATGTGTGGGTGGTTAAAGCCCCTCACTGGCTGTGGGTGAAGCCAGCCGGCTCTGCCGGAGCCTGGGCACCTCCGCTGTCCTGTGGCACTGCTCCACACCACCAGTCCCTGCGCCGAGTCCTGCCAGGGCTCAGCCTGCCTTCCAGCTCACTGGACCGGGCACCGGCATGGGAACAGGTCCCAGCCCACCCCTGGGACCACGCACCAGGCTGCAGGGAGGTCAGAGCCTGTCCCAGACACCCCAGGGCCATGCACTGAGCTGTGCCCAGGTCTCGGCTCACCGAGCTGTGCCCAGATCTCAGCTGGCTGTCCGAGCCTTGCACCGCGCTGTGCCCAGGTCTCGGCTCTCTGTCCGAGCCTTGCACTGAGCCGTGCTCAGTCTCAGCTCACCTCCCGCACCTCCGAACCACCGAGCGTCCCGCAGCCCGCTCTCCCAGCCCCAGGGGCCAAGCACCGGGGCCGTGCCCGGGCCGTGCCCAGCTCCGACCCCACCACCCGTGCCCGGAGCCGCAGCCCGAGCTCAGCCCCCTCCCACCACCCGTGCACCGACCCGCAGCCCGGTCCCACCGCCCGTCCCGGCCCCCCCATCCCCAGCTGCCCTACGGGGCGGTCTCACCCCGCTCCCCGGCGCGCTCCACCGACCTGTGGCGCGGTCCCGGCGCGGTGCCCGCCCGGCCCTGCCCGCTCCTCCCGCCCGCTCCTCGCCCGGCGGCCGCCGCTCCCCCGCCCGCCACGGCCGCCTCTGCCCGCGCTGCGCCAACTGCGCCCGCTCCGCCGACAGCGCAGGCAGCGCGCGGGGCGGGCGGCGCGGCCGCGCTTCGAGAATACCGACCCTGCGTAACCCCCGCCCTCCGCCCCGAGGCGGGGGAGCGACAGCGGCGCCGCCCCATTGGACGGCAGCGAGGAGGCGGGTTGAGCGCGGCGGGGGTTGATTGGTTAGCGGCGCGCGGGGCGGAGAGAAGAGCGCAGGGATTGGAGGGCAGGGCTGTCAGTTTGGGGAAGCCCCGCCCCCCGGAGTGAGGGGGCGGGCGCGGAGGCGCCGGGGTCCCCTCAGTGGGGCCGTTGTGTGGGGTCGTTTGGGATTTCTCGGTGTTTCCGCCCCACAAGGTGTCCCGAGGCCCCTCTGCAGCCCGAGCAGCGCCCAGCTGGCGCAGGAGCTGAGGGGATGGCGGGGGCAGCTCTGACATGATAGATACGGAGCTCCTGGAGAGGGTCCAGCGGGGGGCAACGAGGATGGTTGGGGGGCTGGAGCATCCCTCATATAAGGAAAGCTGGGGCTCTTCAGTCTCGAGAAGAGGCGGTTGAGAGGGAACCTCATCAGTGTGTATAAATATCTAAAGGTGCCAAGAAGATGCTCCGTGGTGCCAAGAAGTAGGGCATGAGGCAACGGGCAGAAACTGATGCACAAGAAATTCCACCTGAATAGGAGGAAGAACTTTACTGTGCAGTGACCACACACTGGCACAGGTTGCCCAGAGAGGGTGTAGAGTCTCCCTCACTGGAGATATTCCAGAGCCATCTGGACACAATCCTGTGCCAGGTGCTCCAGGATGACCCTGCTTGGGCAGGGAGGTTGGAGCAGATGAGCCACTGTGGTCCCTTCCAGCCTGACCCATTCTGTGCTTCTGTGACAGACAGTCTCTGCATCTTAGCCTGGCTTGTCCCAGTGCCTTCCTGGCCCAGGCAGCCCCTGGTGACATCCCTCCCAGCGGGATGTCCCACAGGCACACTGCTCCTCAGGCTGTGCCACCTCACACTCCATGGTGTGGCCACCCTGTCCCCTTGGGGCAGGCTGTGGGGCAGGCTGTGGGGCAGGCTGTGGGGCAGGCTGGTCAGCAGTACCTGTGCTGGCCGGGAGCGGGAAGGAGGCCCTGGCACCCCACAGCCCTGCGGGCAGCACGAGGCAGGGCCGGGAGCTGGGATCTCACCCTCCGTGTGTGAGGTGTGGCAACCAGTTGGACACATCTCCCCATGGAAATGGCTCCCTGTTATTAGGTGCTGCTGCCGTGCCCTGTGCTGTGGCTGGGATCCCTGGTTAGGCAGGATTCCATCGTTTAAGGGCAAGCAGAACAAAATGTCTCTCCTTGTCCTGAAGGAGTCTGCAATCATCAACGTGATTTGCCTAGTTTTTAAAGGCAGGGATGTGCCCAAGAGTCTTTGTGGCAGAGAAGTTGAGGCTTATATGGGAGGGACTGTTCCCAAGGTTGATGTGCATGTCTGGCAAGGCTTGGATGAAAGCCTGGGAGCTCTCTCTGCCAGGCTTTAATGCCCAGACTCCTTCCCTGTAATCTTTGCCATCTATGCAGACAATATCAGAGCTATCAAATAATTCCACCACAGTGTGAACCTTTAAAAAAAAAAAAAAAAAGTCTGCTAGGAAAAGTACACAGCAATGCCCCAAAGTTAAAAATTGGATGAAGCCAAATGTGTTGCCATGATTTTTTGCTTACCAGGTTAAGTTTACATGGGCCAGGAAAACATTTTGTATTGGTACCATGAAACCATTGCAGGAAATACCAGGAGATATCAAGAAACAGCACGGTTTGTGGAGGTTGCTGTTACAGGCAGGGCTTGAATCCTTCCATCAATTCCTATCTGGTGTTTCCAAGGCTCTGAGACATTGCTGGAGATGGGCTGGGATTTTTTGCTTTCTGTTTCTCAGTTTGTTGAGAAGGAGCTCAGCCTGTTAAATATTTGACGTTTGCCAAGCTGGGAGGCTCAAATACTGGAGATATCTGAAGAATCCAGCCCAGTTCTCACACTTCTCATGCTCCAGCTACTGCTGGCAGACACGTGGATGCTCCTCTTCCATCCCTAGGTAAAGGACAAACGATCCCTGTGTGTGGTGTGGGAGGAGGCTGTGTGTTATCTGCTATGATTCATCCTGATAAATAACCTCCTCGAGGACTTCTCTTGTTTATAGCAACAGCCCCAGATGCTAAAGTTTACAGAGACTTTAATCCTCGCTGTTCTCACGCATATTTACTTTGCAGTTTTATCAGAAGCATCTCTTGAAAACCTCAGTGTTTTTATAATTAATTGAATAATGTGACTGATGTTAAAAATAAACGGGCTTGGAAAAATGCCCAGTGAGCTGCTGAGCAGCGTGTAGTGTAGCAACCCTAGCTGCATTCTCAGGGGTATGTGTATTTTCCTAACAAATGCAGTCTCATGACTTAGAGATTAAATCTTTATTAGTTTGAAATTCACCCTGTTGATTTTTTTTCTGTGTTTATGCTGCATAATTGTTTCTGGAGAAATTCATATTTTTTAAAGGGACAGTGGCTCCTGATCGCAGAGGGGGTAGGTTAGTCTGAGCCCGCCCACAGAGGGGATGTGGGTATAGGGTATCTCCATCCATCCACCATCCCACTGACTTTATATTATATTCCATTCCAGGTCCAGTCCAGTCACCATCCGTGTGTGACCAAGGCACTCTGATACACATGGATTCTGCTCACCCCAGACTCCCACAGTGTGGATTTCTCCTCCAGGCTCATGCACAACTCACCTCTGCTCCATGACGCTCAGCCACGTCCCTGCCCTGTGCTCTCCCTGACCTGGGCCTTTCCCGGTGCAGCTCCCTTGTGCTGCCACCACTTCCTCAACTTTTGCTGGCTCAGGGCATCGTCTTATCAGTCTGGGATATTTTTATCAGTCTGGGCTCTGCAGTTCAGTCTGGGCCTCACCTCTGCTCTCCTGGAGAAGTTTTCCTGGATGGCCAGGGTTGGGATCTCGATGCTCTGTGAGTGAGCATGAGCAGAGGTTGCTTCTCTTACCTCCTCCCTCCCTGCTTTGAGGACAGAGATAAGGCAGCAGGGGAGAAACAAGGTGAGATAAATTCAGAAGGGACCAAACTTGGTGAGGTGAAGTGAGGTAGATTCTGTAATGCATTTGGTGAGCCATCACATCCTATCATCCCAGGGGAATCCCAGATACACTAGCCCTGCAAACTACATCATCAGCATCTTCCTCTGGAAAGCATCATCACACTAATTCATTTCTGCTGGCAGCCAAATGATTAAAGTTTTAAAACTAAATTACACACGTTGCTGTAACAGCAAAAACACAGTAATGGCTCTCCTCTGTTCCACCTGTCGCCTCTGCTGTAATGGCCTTAATGAGCTTTCAGCCTCATCATCCGAAAATAAGAGATTATCACACGATGCTTTGTGCTGTAAATGTGTTCTTGGAGCAGTGGGTGGGGAGTACCTGCAATGCCCCTGCTCTGGGGAGCTGTGGGTGGGAGTTGCAGTGGGTGGGTGCCTTCCCCAGAGCTGGGGGCAGACCCAGAGCTCCCAGAATGGGGCAGGGGGTGCAGACACCACAGCAGTGTGAGTCCCGTGCAGGCAGCTGGAAATCCCGTGAGGGGAATGGGTACCTATCCCCATGGCATGGGATTATCCCATGGAGTGGAGTTATTCCAAGCTCGCGTCTTCCCAGCTTAATAACAGGCTGTGAGCTCTACTTTGATCTGCTTGTGTTTTTCACTTGTTCCATATTTAACTGAATTCATCATCATAAAGGCCAGGAACTGTTTCACTTTCTGTGCCAGGCTGGGTTTCCTCTACGACACACCTGCACAGTGGGTTTCTGGCCTGCCAGGACTGGGAATCCTGTTATCGACAAAGGGAGGGCTGGAATCCGGAGCTGGTGGATTCCTTTCCCCAAACATGCAGCTAGACCTGAAAATCCAGCTGCCTGGCTTTTTTTGTTTACTGGTTTCCATGTCTGCTTCAGTGTGTCCTGGGAATCTGTGGCAGGACTCTCCGTTCCATTCCAGGAGGCCCATGGGTGGAACTGGAGCTGGTTTGCCCCTTCCAAAATCTGTGGACTGGAACTCGCTTTGCCTCGAGGCTTATTGTGTTTATCAGTGTTATCCCGTGTCTGTATCCCAGGTGTCCATCCCTTCAGTGCTCTGCTGGACAAGAGACTTGCTGGCTGTGGCCATGGTCTGTCCCACTTGTTCCATCCTTCTGGCTGCAACCCCACAAACGCCGCTGTTACCCCAAATGCAGGAGAAACAACTGTAATCTGTGGTTCCCACTTGACACAACAACCTCTAATTTGGGATCCTGGGCAGCAGTGGTGACAGAAACTGTCCCTGCTGGCGCTGGGATTCTGCCTTGGGTTAATCACCTGCATGGCTGAGACCCAGGGGCTCATGAATCCTGTTTGAAGGTGATACCAGCTTCAGTCTTGCACACAGAACACTTGAAGCTGTGCTGACCATTCCAGTCAAACTTCTTATCAGATGCTTTCAAGAAAGACAATGTTAAAAGCTTCCGTTTTCATACTGACCCGACCGCACTTGTGCTGACAGTACCTGCTGGCCATAACCTCTCATGTGGCAGGAAAAAACCCACAAAAAACCCCCGAAGGATGCTCTGCCAAAAGAGGCTTGAAAAACTTTAAAAACATGCTGGAGGAGGTGAGGCTAATTTGGGTGAGTGTGGAGGTGATATCATTCAGTCCCTTGGCAGGGATCAGCTCCCAGAACTGCAGTGTAGCAATGGCAGTGCATTGTTCTCGTGGGATACTGACATAATTATGTGTGGCCTTCTAAAAAATCTTAAAAGCTGTCCCTTTGCTTATAATTAAAGACTTCATGTGTTTTTTTAGTCTTGTGCTTGCCCATTCGGTTCTACAGGGAACTCATCCCAAAATGAGACATGTCAGTGTCCTCTGCTATGTCTGTGGGAAGCAGAGGGACCCAGTTTATGATTCTAGGCATCCTGAATTTTCCAGGGTTACCTGTGTTCCTCATTGCTGCACTCTGACTGTTGAATTTCCTCCTGTCCAGGCTCTCAGCCCGGGAAAGATTGATCAGTGAGAGGAGCAAGCAGGATTCCAAAAGGTCTGGAGGACAAGTGTGGTTTCTGGGATGGTGCCGCACCGCAGCTCTGGATCGTGTCGTGCAGTGCCATCTCCTGGAAAGCCGGGCTGGAAACACGCTGCAGGCAGAGATCTACTCCTGGGGGAGCAGCGGTGCTGCTGGTGGCTTGGCTGCTGCCTCCGATGGCCACACAGACGATTCTCTGATCACCCAGAGTCCCACACCAAACTTCTTTTACCCCTGCAGGCAGGAGGATGCTGCTCGCCCTCACCTCCGAGGTACCCTGTGGCAGAACATCCCTGCGTGGCTCCTTCCCAGTCTGGATGCTGAATACAAACCTCCAGGTACGAAAAGAACAGCAGAGGAGCACACATAAACATCTAAAGATGTCCCTCCTTAGCTTTAGTTCTGCTTGGTTCCTGCTCAGTTGAATGCCCTGTGTACTTGCTCATCCTTGTCAGTGTCCTGCTCACCTGTTCCTCCTGGTTTTTAAAAGACACTTTTTTCTCTCCTTCCCCAAGTTTGATGACCTCGTCATGAGCCACAGCCAAGCCCCTCATCACAGTGCTCACCCTGTGTTTAAAATGTTGCCTCATCTTTTTAATGGGACAAAAATGTGAACACGGAACAAGCACTGGAATGAATGCTGGTGGCTTGACTAAGCTCTATATTTATCCTGAAAAGACAAGAAAAATGGGTGGTTCCAACAGCAACAGGTTTAGTCCTATGAAACTAACACAGCTTAAATGCTTAGTCACTGAAAAAAACGCACACTGCAGTTTAAAGCCAAAGGCTGGTATTTCAACCATTATTTTAGGCTATTGTGGCATCATTGAGCAGCTGGGAGATTACTGTACTTCAGTAATCCAGCAGACACAGTGAAATACTCGTGCTCCAAGGTAGGGCTGTAAAAGCTGTTATTTGAAAAAGACCATAATTATGTAAATACAAGGCCAGGAGGTTCACAAACAAGAGAAAAAGCTACTGTGACACGTGGCTGTTCACAGCTCTCCTTGGCCCCTTCACAGCGAGGATTCTGTGTTGCAGACTTTTTGTCATGAATCCATTTCTGCCCTGGCACATTCCGATGAACTGAAACAGCCTGTTTACCAAAAATGCACTTTTTTATTAAAATCTGTATTTGTAAAGGAGAGGTCATTACACAAATGAGGTAAACCAACACATATGACATAGTTCTCACTTTAAAAATAAATTTCAATTGAGCAATTGATTTGATTCCACAAAGTCCGAGAGGGAGAGTCAGGCAAGTGCTACTCATGAGGCGAGATCCCGGGCAAGGCAGGACGAGGCAGCTGATCTGCCCAGACTCAGCTCAGAGGTGTCAGTCCCAAGGGGTTGGGAGTCTTCCAGGGACCAAACCCTTCTCACTGTGCTGTCCTTTTCTCCCCCATCAGGTGTGCAGACGAGAGGAGATGAGTAAAGGTCCAGGAGCAGGCAGCAGTGGCCTCTTCACTCCTGCTCTAAGCAGGGGTCCCCCATCAGCATCCTCCCATTAAAGGCTGTGTAAAGGTTTCATTTGATTGTGCAAATCCACTCCCTCATCAGCCCTAGAGGAGACTTAACAGCAAGTAAATACCAGCTCTGGAAAAGTTCCATTTCAAAAGTAATACCTGGCAAGCAACAAACCCGTTAAGTGCGACACACTTTGCAAGGTACAGGGAGAAGAGTTATGCTTCCTTCTTTTTCTTTTTTCTTCCATGCATGTACAAGTGGAGCTTTAATCTAAAAGTTTATGAAGTTGCTGCAAGTCTGTGAGAATCATGCTGACCATCCTGTGCAATTAAGCTTTCTCATTAAGGACTGAGTCCCATGGCCTGAACACCTCAAAGAGAAGAGTGGCTGCAATGTTGTTTTACCCTGTGTAACAGCATAGGACAGTGAGAACCTCAGCTCTGTTTCTCAGGATGCCACCACTTGAGGCCAGCCAGCAGATGAACACGGAACAGCTGGACTCACTTCCAGCTCCCAGGCACTACAGAACAAACACCCCCACCAGCAGAACCAAGTAATGCCCCAAAAATCAGTGGCTAACAAACTCCTAAACGCTGGGAATTCCTGTATGGCTGAAGCTCTGTAGTCCAGGTCCACTTTGATGGATTAAGGTATTCTGGAGGTGCCAAACTATGCAGATGAGGCAGAGGTGGAGTTTCACCTGCTACACTCCCAGCCCGAGTGAAACTCGTCCCGTCCCTTGGGTATTTACACCGTGACAGGAAAGACATTGCTCCAACACGTGTCCCAGGACAGCTTCTGGTAACCGAGACATGAAATTTTCATCACATCTGCAAAGTTGACAGCGAAACTCCACGACTGCACGCAGATAAACCACGAGGAGAATGCACTATTTTAACCCCATTGCTATCCTCAGGGGACGTGGGTGGGATTTGAACTGCACAGAGGCTTGGTGCTGGTCTGCAGGGGCTGGGTGGATGTCACGCTGCAGGAGCAGATTCTGCAGCTCTCAGTGCAGAGAGAAGGTTCTGCCACATCCGGTACCACATTTCCAGTAAATGCTTTCAGCAAGAGCCAGAAATGCATTCGCTACAGTCCATGATCACTGCACCCAGGCAGCTGCAGCACTGCGATATATCCTGACAAAACTCTCCACATCAGAAGTCAGTTAAAGGCTATAGGTCTCAAGGGAGAGAGAGAAAGAGAAAGGTGTCATACTTAGGAGAGCTTTTTTCCAAACAGGAATTAAAAAAGAACTTTTTTTAATGAACCTATTGTTTGAGGAACTAAAGCAACTGATGTTAAGTTGCTGGTTTATTACACATCCTGCTAAGGCTCTGTATGAGTCTGAAAAGGCAGATTAGCATAAGATTAGCAGAGAAAGCTGTTTAGGCTCAGCAAGACTCCAAGGGAGCCATTCACGTTGAGGAGAGCCACCACCCCTCGCTCCTGTGTCCTCTGACAGCACGGGCAGGTTTTGTGCAATGCAGATGTCCCCTAAAATCATAGAATTGTTTAGGTTGGAAAAGACCTTTAAGATCATCGAGTCCAACCATTCCCCTGGCACTGCCACGTCCACCACTAACCCGTGTCCCCAAGTGCCACATCCACATGTCTTTTAAATCCCTTTGGGGACAGTGACTCCACCACTGCCCCGGGCAGCCTGTGACAGGGCTTGACAACCCTTTTTTCTCAATATCCACCTAAAGCTCCCCTCCCAGCACTGTTCCTTTCACTGGGTCATACCATCCTGCTGCCCTGCCTGGCCGGGCTCGGCGGTGACCGGCGGGCTGGGTGTGTTGCTCTGCAAAAATCGACGGAAGTCCTTGATCATGGGGCGGAGGACCTGGATGAGGGCGCTCAGCGCCGCCTGCGTGCCCTCCATGGCCTGCGCCTGCCGCTCCTGGGCGCACGCCTGCACCTCCTGGGAGCGGCGGATCATCTGCAGCAGGTCGTTCTGCTGCTCCAGGTGCTGGGCGATCTCCTTCACGTGCAGGTTGGTCACCCGCTGCTCCTGCAGGAGCTTGGCCGAGTTCAGGGCGATGCGGCTCTTCAGCTCCTGGGGCTTGGCGGACACCTCGTGCTGGTGGGCCATCATCTCCAGGGGCGCCTCTGTGGTCACTGTGGCGGGGGCTTCCGTGGTGCAGTACTCCACCACCCCGTCCTCCAGGCTGTGGTAGGTTGTCTCTGCAGGAACTGAGAACAAAGAGCAGACAGGGGGGGTCAGGGGTAGCTGTGATATGGGTTTTTTTTTATCTACAGGACTATTCAGTGGATATCACAGGAATACGGCCTGTTCAGTGAGATAACACACAATGGCCAGAAATGCACAAAACGACCTATTTAAGTCTACTCCACCCTCAGTCGGGCTTCTTTCTAGGCTGTACAATCCAAAGGAATAGGGAATGCCTTATCTGTCTAGACAAAATAATTTCTCAACCTCCAGTTCAGAACAATCTCTCCAAGCAGCAATAACTGGCTGATGTAATGGCAAAGACAAGATCCAGAACGGCCCCTGCCAGCAGGGCAGGACAGCTGCTCTTTGGGATGCTGCACAGTGAGAAATCAGCCCTGGAGATGCTTCTCCCCTTGTCGTTTCCCCCTTTTCATCCCCAAAGAGGAACTGACAAATCTCTAAGGTGCAAAGGAACCTCTATTCTGAGGAACAGCTCTCAAAGCTGACTTGCAGCATGTATGTGCCTTGCAGCCGGCTACTGCCCTACAGCACAAGGGCAGACTGGGGAATGGCAATTCATCAGAGATGGTGGGGATTCCTTTTTGCTGGGGTTCCTCTCTGCCCAGAGAGATGCCCTATCCTTGGAGACATTCATGGTCAAGCTGGGTGAAGCATCCTGGTCTAGCGGAAGGTGTCCCTGCCCAGAGAAGCTGTGGATGCCCTATCGCTGGAGATGTTCATGGCCAGGCCAGATGGAGCATCCTGGTCTAGTGGAAGGTGCCATCGAGGAGCTGTGGATGTCCTATCCCTGGAGATGTTCAAGGCTGGAGCATCCTGGTCTAGCCGAAGGTGTGCCTGCCCATGGTGGAACGGGATGATCTTTCTAAACCATTCTACGACTTCTAAACCATTCTACGACTCTTCCCCCGCACAGGGCTCGAGGTCTGTTTGTGCCCCTCCAGCCCAGCACTCACTCTGGGTCAGGGTGACGGTGGTGGCCGAGGCGGTGATGGGGATGTCTCCACCGTCCCCGGCGCCGCAGTCTCCGCTCGGCAGGCTGATGATGGTGGCCTCTCCCAGCAGGTTGCAGATGCGCTGCTGCATCGGGGTCAGGATCACCGGGGCGGCCGCGGCGCCCGCGGGGTCCTCGCCCTCGGCGGTGCCGGCTCCGCCGTTCTGCCCCTCGCCTCCTCCTTCCATGGCCGCCCGCACCTGGGCCACTTTGCGCCGCACCTCGGTCTTGAGGTCGGACCACTTCTTCTTGACCTCGGGCAGCTCTCGGTGGCAGGTGGCCACGGCGTTGACGCGGCGCAGGATGTCGTGCCAGGCGGCGGCCTTGGCGGCCAGCGGCACGCCCGCGTTGAAGTGGTTCACCAGGAGGTGCTTGCCCCGCTCCAGCTCCTCCACGATGATCTCCACCTCCCGCTCCGAGAAGTTCATCTTACGCTTCTTGGCCGGCGGGGCTGGCGGCGACGCCATGGCCATGTGGGGGCACCGCGGGGGTCACACCGCGGGGGGGATGGGGGGCACGGGGGGCGCCGGGCAGGGCCGAGGGGCGGCAGGGCCCCCCCTCCCCGGGGGACGGGGACGGCAGGGGGGCCCCGAGGCCCCTCAGGGCCCGCGGGGGTCAGTGCCCCCCGCTCCGCCTCGGGCACGACCGACGGTACGCAAATTGCGTACGGCGCCCGCCCGGCGGCCCCGCAGAACGGCCGCGGCCCTGCGGCACTGGCGTAATGGCTTCCAGAATCGGCCCCCTTTCCCGCCGCGCCCCATTGGACAGCGCGCCTGCCCGTCACGCACTGTGCTCGCCCTCCGCCGCCAGCGCTCTGTTGTCATTGGTTGACCAGCCTGCCTGTCACGCGGGAGGCCCACCTCCCACCTCCCGCGCCTCGCTGTCATTGGCTAGTGACCCTGCCCGTCAAGCGACCCCGCCCCGCCTATGGTCTCGGTGCACTGGGCCTGCGTGAGGCCGGGCCCGCCCGCGGGTTCCCCGCTCTGACTCCATTGGGCGCATTTCCCATCCATCGACGCAGAGCGCGCCCTGCTCTGGAACCTACCGGCCGCGCGCCACGCCCATCACGCTCAGACTGCCTCCAGGCCGTCTGTCTGATTGGAGGCGCCGTCACCTTATCCCCGCCTCCCCCCGGCGGCTCAGCCAATCGCAGCCCGGCCCGCGCGCCGGCACCGCCCCCCCGGTGCCACACACAGGACACGCCGCGGCGCCTCCTCCCGATTGGCGGAGGCGAAGGTGTCTCCCGTGACGTCACGCCCCGCCTCGCGCGCGCGAGGGGGGCGTGGCCCGAGGGGCTCGGCGGGCGCTGTGATTGGGCGGCGCGCGGCGTCACGTGGCGGCCGCGGCGCGTGGCGCGAAGGCGGAAGCGGCGCCATTTGCCGGTGCCGCGGCGTGAGGGGCGGGCGGCGCTCGGGTCTGGTGCCGGTCCGGCTATGCCGGGGGCGCGGCGCTCCCTCGCCTCCCCCGTGGTCAGCGGCGTCCTCTGCCCCTGCGGGTCCCCGCACGCACCGCCGGCGGAGGGCGGAGGGAGCGGCAGCGGCGGCAGCAGCAGCAGCGGCGGGTCCTGCGGGCGGTCGCTGTGCGAGGCCTCCGAGCAGGATCGGCGGCTCCGCGCGCTGTTCCAGAAGCTCGATGTGAACCGCGATGGCGCGCTCTGCGTCCACGACCTGGCCGTGGGGCTGGGCCGCCTCGGGCTGCAGCGCTCCGAGCTGGACCTGCTGGTGAGCGGCGGGGGCTGGGCGGGCTGCGGTGCCGCGTTCCGGGGCACAGGGAGGGTCGGGCCCCCCGCGGCTCCGTGTCGGTCTCGGGAGCGGGAAGCTGCTCTGGAGAACCCTCCAACTCGTGCCTGGCCGGGGCAGCGGGGGCTCCTGCGAGGGGCTCGGTAGCACCCGCGTCCCGTCACCGGGCTGTGCCCTGAGCGGGATGGGACATTCCCTGTGCGATGTGACGGCCCCGCTCCGCTCCCCGGGGAGCGGGAGGCACCTCTGGGTGCTCGCCTCAAAGCGACCCTGCCGACCTGCACGCTAAGCCCCGGAGGAGTCGGTTTGCTCGCTCCCTGCGGGCGCGCACAGTATTAACTGCCCGCAGTTAATAAGGCTGAACACTTGTTGCTCGGGCAAGAAAAAAACCATAAAGGAAATGGCCTTTCTCCAGGTCCGAGGACAGGGCAGCTTGCACGCTGACTTGAGCTGGTAAAAGCTCCTTTGGAAGGGGTTCCTGCAGTCAGGAATTTCATTGCATCGCCGCGTTTCCTCACATGAGCCCGTCTGGCACCGCGTTGCTACTCAGGTTTGCCCAAGGTGGCTTATGCACGCCAGACTCGTTTGTTTGAAGGGGTTGGAAGTATCTTGAAGTGGAGGGGGGCTGCTGTGCTATACAGTTTGCACGTAGAGTATATAAAAAAATGAAACACGTGCAGCACTGGCTTTCTCTTTCAGTATCGGGAGCCCTTTGTGATCACACCGCTCTCTGTACACTGAGGGTTCTGGGCTCCAAGGTTCAATATGACTGTGCTCTATTTAACCGTAATTAGCGCTATTTACATGTCTATGAACCAGAGCAATGGGCTTGCCCTCAGTGCCGCACAGTTTGTCCCTGCCGAGTCTTTTGTATTCCGTGTGCAGGGCCATAAAAGAAGCTCAGGTATCATGTGAGGATGGGAGACAAACACATGGGTGCAGCCAGGGATGTGCCACCACACAGTGCCTGAGTCCTGCAGGAAGGGAGAAGAGTTTAAGAATAACTTCTGAGTCACCGAAAAGATATTTAATCCAAGTGACAGTTCATATTCTCTCCCTGTTCTGGGAGTGGCCCCTCAGTTTGAGTGGTTTATTTGCATATGCCCATCCTTTCCAGAGTTTCTAGTTCCTCTCTAACTTTGAATCTCCAACACCTTAGCCTCTAACGTTTCTCTTTGGTTGCTGCTGTAAAACATGAGAATTCCTTGGCAGTGTGGTCTTGTGAGTGGCTTAGTTTCTAAAACTGACACGAGTGCCATGGTGATTTTCTGCTGGGTAGATTTTAGCGCTGAAATCTGACTGCACCACGTCAATCACCTGTGCATGCCCTGTGACCCTGACCTGCTGCCACCCCTGGGGCACAATCCCTTACCTCTGGCAAAACTCCCTCACCCCCCAGAATGTTCTGTCACGCCTGCATGCCCGCCTGGGTTTGCCTTCCCTGCTGTTCCCGTGCATGTTACTCAATCCAGCCTGACGTTCTCCAGCCCAGGGAGGAAGCACCTTAAAAACAAACTGCGTTTTTGCTTCCCAGCAGAGAAGTCTCTTTGCTTTCCACGCCGTGGGAGCGGCACAGAGGAACCGTTCTGCGGGGACTGGAACGCGCTGTCGGAGGGAAGCACTGGCTGGACGCTGCTTAACAATCCTGTCTCTCTGCTGAAGCCCTTGTCTGTCAGTATTGTTCCTCAGCCCTTTGCTTCCTCTGCCTCCTCTTCCTCTGCATGGGAAGTGGCTGGTTAGATGAATAGTGTGAGGACTGCCCCATCCCTGGGAGTGTCCGAGGCCAGGCTGGATGGAGCTCTGAGCAGCTGGGTCTGGTGGAAGGTGGAACTGAATGCTCTCCAAGTACCCTTCCAACCCAAACCACTCTATAGTTTGCAAAGCGCTGTTTGTATGGCAGAGCATCCCCTTAGCAGGGTAAAACCCATCCTTTAAGAATGAGGATGCAGGGTCCAAAACTCTCGAGTTCCAGTTAAAAATGCGGGAACAGCCTCGGAGAGCTGGCTGGAAAACTTCCGCCTAGTGCAGTTCTTAGGAAAGTCAAATAAACTTCCTGTTTCCCAGGCAGTTCTATTAATAAGTCAGTCTTTTTTCTGCTCCATCCTTAGCTAATTATGGCACCTCGATGCTTAACTAATGTGAGGTCACGCTCAAGAAAAGTGCTTAATCAAGATGAAAAACCTTTTTGATGTATTGGGCCATGGTGTTTGGAGCCTAGTTTAGGCATAAATCACATGGATTGCCTGTGATTAGTAAATTACTTGGTGCATTTTATTTTTCCTTCCATTCAGCAGTACAGTTGGTATGGGAGTTGCCTTCCAACGTTTTGGGAGCAGATGGAGAAAACACTGGGCTGGTAATGTGAGGTTATCACCAATCTCAGCTGCGAGCTGCTAATCTCCCTGCGTCACTGGGCTGGAAGTCCTTTGTGGTAACAATAAGTTTTGGGCTGAACTCGAAAAGAAACTGAGCAATATTTTGGCTCCTTCACAGCTTCAGAGTTCTTGCTGAGATAAAACCCTTTGTGGCATTCCTGTAAAACTGCTGCCTTCTGTTTCAGAGGTGGCCTTCTGTGGTGGGGGAGAGAAGGGGCTGTACTCAGATATCTTCTTTGAAGTGGAATTTGCTTATGTCAACGGTGCTTTCTTTTTTTTTTTTTTTAACCCCATGTTGTTATCTTTAAACCATTTGACAAATACAGTGTGCCAGACCAGTGAGCCTTGTAACGAAATGCTTGTTTGCACTGGTCAGCGTGAAGCAATCCACATACTTCACTCTGCTTGGGCAGTAAAGTCGTAATAACCATGTGAAGAATTTTTTTTACAGCTGTTCTTGTTCTACTGTGTAAAGGGATAGTCTTTTACTGCTAAATTCTGTCTCCTGGAATGGTCAGTGTCCTGTTACTGCTGCTTTCTGACTTTTATGTAGATTTATGGAATAGGAAATATGCACTTAATGGAAATACGGGTAGTAGAGCCAGAACTGTGTTTTCTACTCTGTATCTGGAGATGTCCTATTGTTTAAAGAATGCATAATGATAATATTTGTGTATTTGCTAATATAACTGTTTTCCTACTGATCCTGATTAACTGCAGGGCTGGAGTGCCATTCTAAAAACTCATCTCTGCTGCTGAAGTTCCAGACAGTCTAAACTGGTGGGATTAATCACAACTGCCTAGAGACAGACTGAAGTGGTGAACTTTGTCTGCAGCTGCCTCTTCTGTGGTGGTGCTGAGCATCTTCTGCTGGACTAGTTCTCTCCACTGCAACAAACAGAGCACACATAACCCTTGTCTCTTTTCAGTTCCAAGTGTCCTGTTGCTCTGCCATAATGATGTTGTCCTCCTTGGCCTTGTGATATTTTCGTCTCTCAAATTAATATAAGTGACTACATCAGCTCCCATTCTGCTGAAATCTTTCATCACTTCTTTCTTAGCCTGGTATCTCCTCTTTGATCTCAAGGTTCTGGCTGTCCAAACTCCCCCACAAGCTCTGTTGTTCCCTTTTCCCAAAGAAGCAAAGCCACACTGCGGTGTTCTTTTTGCTTCAGGCCTTTCCTCCGAACAACTTTGCTTTTTAAGTGTGTCCCTGGGCTCTTCCAGCTCTGCCCCTGCCATTCTGGGATGATAGATCAGTTAGCTCTTTCGCAAGTGCTTCCATGGATGGATTGAGAAACTCCTTCTACTGTAGCAGTTGCAAACATAAAAAAAAATTTAATCTTGTTTCTGATCAATACTTTATCTCCTGTCATGACGTCATTTAATTCTTCCTTTCAGGCTCTTTATTTCTGTAGCTGTTTGACTCTCCAGAACTTTCGAGTTCTCTCTGTTGTACTGTGCACAATGCACTGGAATTCTCAGCAGCTGTAAGGGGCAGAGGGAGCAGGGACTCTTTCCTGTGTCATACATTCATCTGTTTTCCATTCACAGCCATCTGGAGCTGGAGGACCTGAGTTTTTACTGTGTAACAGAAGTCTGTTTATGATAAAAAGAGCAGAATTCTAATACAGTTCCATAATTTGGACTGGAATATCTCTCCAAACCTAAATACATTTAGATCTCACAATAGAACTCCAAACCTATATGCATTTTTACGTCTTCCTGGTTTGTGTGTCTTGAATCCTGCCGGGGCAGTTGTGGAGCTTTTAGCCAGGCTTTTGTAATTCATCCTGAAGGACTGAGCTACACGAGGTTGTATCAGACAAGCAAAGCACTGTTACAGATTGAAATTCCAGTTGATACCCTTCCTCCTGCTGCTTTCAGCACTTATTTGCCAACAGCTTCTCATCCACCCATCTCCTTACTAAT